ATACTTTCTTTGAAAAATGTTCGAAATTCCCAAAATTTGTTTCAAACAAATTGTAATATTATGGGTTTAAAAAAAAAAAAAAAAATCTATTCTTATTTATTTGGTGGATGAAATCCCTCAAATTTCACACGTAACATATTAAAAGGGTAGTAGCTTTCGAGCAGTGGTAATTTATTTGAAACGGTTTTATAGATTTACAGCAGTTTTTCGTAAAAGTTAAAAAATCTGAAAACCGAATAATGACTATAAGTCTGTTTCATTTTTGTTCATTTATGGGTTACCTTGACTAAGAAAAACTTAAAATAACACTAAAACCTAATCAGTTTACCAAACTCCATTCAGAATTGGTGTTTGACGATTGCAGTGATTTATCGTTGTTTTCGGTATATAAACAAAATTACCTAATATCTTACGTCTTCAAAATGACCCACCTAAAACAGTGTCAATGGTGCAAATTATGTCCCACTTTTTACGTATGATATACTATACCTACTTGACTCGTCACAAATGAATCTGGGTGTGATGGGTTTTTGTTATTTTCAACGTACTTACGTGAAATTACAAAAATTACGAAAATATTATGCTCGTTTTGCAGTTGTTTATACTATTGTCTATTGATATAATACTGTTAGTTTAATTTACGACTAACATAACGATTAAGAAACTAAAGACATATTATATTCAGTGTCCCACATTAGTCGAGGAGACATAACACACAACACATTTTTAATTCGTTATTAGTTAGAATTAGTGTGTGGGATTATTTGTCGGTAAGACGAACATAATAGAATTAATGTTATACAAGTAATAATTTATAACGGTTTGTATGTACAATTGTTTATTTCTAATAATACTATGATAATAATACAATTATTAATATTGCCGGAAGACTTTGTTGAGATTCAATCAAATTTTCTTTTAATGATCATGTACGTTTTACCTACATTCATTTATTAGGAACGAAGCTTATAAAAAATTAATGTTTTTAAATCGCATTAGTCGGTACCTACTCGAGAGACATTGATTTACATTAACAATATTATAAAATTCAATTGTCCGTTTTTGAAATTTTAATTGTTTATGTTCTCTTTATCTAACATCTTGACACGAATGTCTTAACAATATAGTTTAGTTTTTATTGTATAAACTCAATTCATTGCAATTAATTTTCATAAACGTCCAGTAAGAATATTTGTGTTGGAAACAAAATTCATGTGCGAGGCACCAGAGGTTGAATTTCGGGAATAATTAACAATATTAGTATGCATTNATAAGTTATTTATATGGAATAATTCCATAGGGTTAATTTACATTCATTAGGCAATACATATTTATTTTATAGTGTTCAACAAAACCTGGTTAGGTTATACGTTACCAGGTTAAGTTAGGTATTCAGAAATATATACTCGAACTATAAGATAACTGTGTTATTTGGTGGGGGAAGTTTTTTGCATGAAGCAGTTACGGTAAAATTCCAAAATAAACCTTATTATACGAAGAATAATAAGAAATATATCCTTATCTGTACCTAACCTAACCTAACGTTTATAATTATAAGACTACTAAATGTCCCTGTACTCCTTGGCTGTACTTATTCTTTTTCGTTGACAAATCTAATGATACGGTTCCACACATAAACCCACCAACTTGATTTAGTCATAAACAGTTGCTTCATATGATATCCACTCATGCCACTACTGCGAGTTGCTAATGGAATCTGAAACTAAGAAGTAAAAAAATTAAATTGTAGAGACAAAATTCATGTGCGAGGCACCAGAGGTTGAATTTCGGGAATAATTAACAATATTAGTATGCATTATTAATTAGGTATAGCGTCCTTGAATTGGACATATTTCGTTCAAAAACGACAATTATAATAATAATTGTACCTTCAAGCATTGTGTTCAAGCATACGTTGTCAGTATTGTTAACTGGAAATAAGGAAACAATACTCGTTAGACTGAAAAAAAAAAATGCTCAAGAAAGGATGTTAATTTATAAATCCTACTTGTTCTGTAACATTATCTTAAATAAAATTTAAATTAAATTTGTCAAAATTAATAACGTCTACTGTTTTTTCTCGTCCATTTTATCCACATGATAACTCAGAAATAAAAACAATAATTTTTCGATTGACTAGACTAAAAATCAAGTATCAACCACCATTTGGGGTTTGAACTTCGGGATAAAATTAACCTATGTCCGTCTTCAGGAGTTAAGGATGCAAGCTATCTCCCCTACCAAGTTTTAACTACATCGGTTAAATGGTTTGGCCGTGAAACAGTGACAAACAGATACGGACACACTTCGCATTTATATGAAAAAAACCGTATTCCCCGGCTTCACCCGTATGCAGATTAGTGTATGCAGTGTGCACCTTAGCTGTACATATTTAGTCAAGTATATCTACCAATTGTTAAATAAAAATTGGCTGATTTAATGACACATAAAAATGCGATGTTTCCTACATTCAAGCGAATAGGAAGAATTTATTTATTGAAAATAGATCTGTAGAACAACCAATTAAAAAAAAAAAAAAAAAACCATTGTATATTATCCCACATAATCTATTACCGCGATAAAACGTTTGCACAACATGTTCAACTCTATTATTATTCTCGTTATTGTGATCGTTATAGTTGTTGTCATTGTTATCGCCGTTATTATTATCATTGTTATCACCGATATTTTCATTATTGCGATTATTACCTACTGTTATTGGCGTTATGGCTGTTGTCGTTAATGCCATTGATGTTGTTTGGTAGTATTATTATTTACCTTATTTTGATCATGCGTTTGCGAATGATCGTTCCTAGATAAGCGCTTCTTCTTGGCACTATTTGTGGAACGATCGAAAATTGATTTTTTCTTCATGGGCATTACACGATCAATAAAAGATATAACCAAGAAAAGAATAAAAAAAAAGCGTAGCTGTTCACAGCAATAAACAAAAATCGGTATACATCGAACACGTAATACATTGTAGACGTCGTAAGGCGGTCGTAAACTGTACGATAATGACACAGATAATGAAGACTGTACATAGGAAATTATAATTGGAAAGAAACTATAGATACCAACCCAGTACAGCATATAGTTTTTTTTTTTTTCAATTTATCCATGTTGCTAAGGTAAAATACATTAAAATAAATAAATAGTTTAATAATAATTCCTAAAAACTGAAATTCGGGAGATAGTTTTCAAAGCTATAAACCTTCCATGGATAACGTGGATCATTTTGTGAAAAACTGCGTAAAAATTGGTCCAATAGTGTCGGAGCTAATTCATAACAAAAATTTAGATTTTTGCTTTTATTCATTTATTTAATTATAGAAGATTACCTAGTGTATTAGTAGATAATTCAATTACTATCGAAATCCGGTAAATTGTTTAGATTTTCAACCAAAATAACTCGATTGTTAATTAACTTATAGAATCCGAAACAGGCTTAATAGCTTCTCCGTGATATACTCTATTGATTAAAAAAAAAAAACTGCAGAGCGACTGGATGAGTAGTTTCGGAGCCAACCCGTGACAAAGATATCCATATTCGCTTTTACATATATAGAAGATAGAAGTTTACCTAGTGTATGAGCAAATAGTTTAATAACTACCGAAAACCTGTAGTTTGGGTAATTCAAATTATAAATTGGGTCTTTCGTAATTTTTCGCATATTTCTTGTCAAATTTGTAAAAATCGGTTTACGAGATATTGCAGGGTAGCCGGAGATTTGCAGTTTTTTTTTGTAATTTAATAGATATTTAATTCTGAGTGTTATAGTTTCACTGAGTCGTGCTTTGAACAAACGTCGATACATCGGTTTTATTTTCGTTGATTTCTGGGTTACATTGATTGAGAGGGGAAAAAACCGCTACTAATACTATACTATTGTCTATTTAGGTTTGATACTATGTAGTATCACTAAGTTTATATTATACGGAAATATAATATTTTACTTTCTTGGGTGACATTTGATTTTAAAACATGGGTACACAATACCTATACAAATCGTTTTATAAACGTACTTCACGGTCCACATACGCGTATTATTCAAATATAAACGAATAAGAAAATATTTCAAGGTTCTTTTTTTTTTTACGATGCTACGGGAAATTAAATTTTCAAAAAAAAAAATTACATATTTTTTTATCGGAAGCAATGACAAAAAAAAAAAAATACAATATAATACCTAATATTTATCGTTTTATTGTTAACGAAAAAATCGTCGTTCATTCGACAGAAATTTTAAGAAGATTAAACACATTTTTTCATTATATTATTTTGCGATATTGAGGCTATCTATAGAAGTGTCATAATATAAGTAATATGTCGATTTTACAAAATTTATTTATGGATGGTATTTCGTTTGAAACATTTTTCTATATGCGCAACACTGCAACAGTGTTTCTAAAACAAATATTATAAATATTGAAAACAAATGACTGTTTTGGCTTTATTTTTGTTGATTTTTAGGTTATTTTGGCTACAACGGAAAAACCACGACTAATGCTGTAACCTTACCAGTTTTCCGAACTCTGATCAGATCGTTTTTTGATTGCAGACATAAGGTATCTTCTCTTTCGGCATTTAATCTAAATTACCGTTTAAACTTCCCACCTAAAACTATGGCTCAAACCCATGAATCGTGTCCAACTTTTATAATAATATAAAGTATAGGTATAATAATTGTTATTCTCTATAACAATAAAATATATTATAATTCTTTAGCTGTTAAAAATGTCCAATAAGTAAAACAAATAAAAATGAAAAAAAAAGGAAAGTAAAACAATTATTGTTATTATTAATATTATTTTTTAAGTAGGTATCTATCGAATACCGCCAAATAAATACTTTCTTCTGCCATGTATTTTTACCTAATTGGCTGATGTGAAAATCGTTTTCTCTCGGAAAAAAATCGAAAAAAAAAAAATCACTATAATTCACCGTACTCGTCGATTTTCCGCTCAGAGACGTTAATTACATTTATTATATCTATACGTGTATTACCTTACCAATTATATAATTATGTACAGGTAGGTACTGATACTTCTTTATCTTACAGAATACTCGGTTTATTGATGATTATAAAGGTACAGTTTTTATTTTATATCTAATACAATACAAAACAATCTTATACAATAATTTAAAAATATTATATTTTATAAGTGCATATTATCTGAATAGGTACCTATATTATATCATTAATATTATTAAAAAACGTTATTCTGCCTTATTGCAGTAATTATTACTGAGATTATATTATCAAAAAAATGTTTCATAGTAATATGACTCGTTATAAAATAATCTAAAAACTAAAAATAAATTTACTAAGTTACAGATAAGTATACAGTTTAATATTACAATATTGCCAATAGATAAATTGAAAAACGCACACGTACCCGAAATTCTGGTAAAAATAAATACTTACATTTTTTTTTATTAAAAACGGTTTTAACGTGAACGAAATATGTAAATCGTATTGATTTTTGTACGAAGCGTCTGACTTAAAAATCTTATCAAAAGTATAGATGAAAAAACAAATGTTGTTTTACGACAGTTTTAGGCCACCTGCAGCGATTTGGCCGATTTGTTGTTTTGCGGGTTGGTGGTCGACGAATTGCTATTGGAAGGCTGTAGCATGATTTTGGACTTGGTTTTAGAGCCCACGCGGTTGTGTACTTGCAGATTGGACTCGACGACGATCTCGTCGAAGCCCGTGTTCAGCACTGTCGGGGAGGAAAACACAAAATATTATTTTTGGATTTATTAAAAAAAACAAATAAAAGTCATATGATGCATGTTTGAGGTCGGGTGTTATATTTTGACGACGGTTTCAATAAAATATCAAAAATATTATCATGTCGTCCGGTTTACCTTGCGTGGGTTTTTGCAGTCTACTCGCCCGGTTGGTAGGCGAAGTCGGCGCCGAGTTTTCCGGCTGCTTGAAGTCCTGCTGCGACTGCGGTCTGCAGAGACATCCGGTCGCCAATAACAGGAACACGGCCAGCGCACAAACGGCGGTGAATTGAGCCATTTCTCGCGGGATAAATAATAGGTGATATTATTTCAAAAAAAAAAAAAATTAGGTAATAAAAACCGCGATAAAATGTTCGTGGCTACGAGGTGTATGTGATTTTATTATCGTTGTATGTTTTCCGTGGACGGCGATGGTATGTGCGCGGTGGACGTTGGTCCAATACTGCTGCGGCCGCGTAGTCGTCGGACCCGATCAGCGTGTCGATCTCGCGCTCGCCACAGCATTACATTTTGTACCGATATAATAATAGTACAGGTACCTATACCGATTACCGGGTATATGGTACATGTGTGTGTGTGTGTGTGTGTGTGTGTGTGTGTGTGTGTGCGTGTGTATGAGGTTACGGCTGGGTAATGCGCAGTGAAAGTAATATACATGATAAAATATACCTATTATATGTCGTGTGTAACGTAATATATTATATTGTCGTCCGACGACGAACGTTTCGTGTTAAGGTCTTCGGTCAATATTACGGATAAAGTTGTGTTCAGAGTCGGCGTCACAGGCGTTTGGGGGGGGGGAGGATAAATACAAAAAAAATTTTAAAATTTTTATTCTACTTAGTGTCAGTTAACGCTGGTCGAGACACGAAATAAAAACGTTATTTCAGTTTAAAAACTGAATTTGCACGAACCGATCTATTTCGGATTCAACCGTTTTCAACGATGAAACAGAGCCGTTTCTATTTTAAATGTTTTGAGCACGGCACGGGACAAAATTAAATTGAATTAAACATCCGAATATCCTAAAAAAAAAACCACCCCATTTCATATGGTTGGAATATTTCGTGTTAGTTACACAGGTAAAATTGTTGTTTCAAAAAGTTATCATAATATCATTATGCTTTAAACGTTCAATATAAACTAGTTTATAGATGATGAAATTGTTATTGCAAAGATGAAAGAATAATATGAACTATTTTATACATTACTAGTTGTTTCCCATACGGCTTTGCCGCCCGTGCCCATAGTTGAATGAAAAAACAGTAAAAAAAAAAAAAAAAAAAAAAATACTTTGACTTCCCGTTTCTACCCCCGTCACAGTTAATAACCGATGTTGGCCACGCCAATTTATTTATTAGTGAAATATCCGTGACAACCGAATAACTAATAATAATTGTTTTTTCCCATCCGTGTCGCCACCGATACTAGGGAAATCCATAACTAAATTTTGGCATCAACAATATCAAAAACCCTGTGTGAGCAACCCTTTAGGGATTGAATTTCGGATATCCGGCATTCCAGGAAATTCGAAGTGCATACGGACCCGTTCGTCCACTACAATGCCTATGTAAATTATCAATATCTGCTTACGATAGATTGGATGCACAGTGTACATAGCGCACATGCAAACAGTAATAGATAGATAATTTCTTTTATTAATATAAATGAGTAATAATTTTTATCTAATAACCTCGTCTATATATCGTATCTATATCGTCTATATCGGTGGTATATAGCTATATAAATGTTCGTTTGTTTTTTACTCGCAGAAAAATAATAAAAATATAACTATAATACAGTTTATTAAACTTAACAGTTTAATTTTTAAGCATTCGAATTATTAATTCAAATACTGACATTCAAATTCTTTACAAATCTGGGTACGAACATCAGTCACGATGTATTTCGCGATATGATTACCTGCTCGTGACTCATGAATCATGAGTCATGGTTATCCATGGGTATTATAACGTTCATTTTGCTATTTTTTTTTTTTTGTCGTAACGAATTTGTAAATACTTGTCTATGATCCAAGTTTGTCGTGTTGTTTTAATTTAGATTAATATTGTTATAAATTATGTTTTCATACAGTAAAATTTCTTTGAAAATAAACATAATAAACGACATACATACAGAACGTACCATCAAAATGGGAAGTTGATGGGTAGCCGTACACTGCGCAACCACCATGGACGCTTTTCACGGTACCGAATATTTCAACGCGGGAGTTACCTGTACCATTTTAATATTATACCTGCGCATGTGTTGCGCAATAGTCGTTCGTGCGTGTACATGTATAAAAAGTCGTTTTCTTGGCAAAACGTAAATTCCTCGTGAACCGAACAGTCGACTCTTGCCATAAATTATTTCACGTAAAATGTCGTTTGTATTGTATTGAAATAGGTTTTATGTATTATACACGCATTGTATACGATCAGACGATTCTATAATAGACTGTACTCGCAGAAGACCATAATATTATCATAACATAATAATATAATGTTTCAAGGCTGCGCTGACTGGTGCTGGTGTCTGTGCCGTGTCGAATCGCAACCGAATCGATCACGCATTATTATGGAAGACACGTCCGCCTATAGGGTAAATGTCGTATAACTAAACGTAAAAAATACGCTCGAAATCGATATCGGAACAAATATTAGACATTGGAAACACTATGAATATGTTCGTCCGTAAATGAGTGGTGTCGGCTTTGTGGTCGTCGTAATATTATCATATAAATCGTCGAATATGAAAGACCGATGAACTCCATAGTCTATTCTCATTTTCTCACTATATGATAGTAACACAGTAACAAACGATGTTATATTATTAATTAACATGCCCGCGTTAATCTAAACTGCGTACCATTTAATTATTGCAAATCGAAATCCTTAATTCGGTTGTTGACTGCGGTTACAGTAACGGAAATTCTCTACCAAGATAAAGTTTTTAGGTACCTATATGTAATTTAGTCATTTTTTCGCAACCAAATTACTCCACTCAGTATGCTGAAAGTACTGTGCATTTTAAATTTTGAGCGGAACGTAACGTTTTATTATAATTATTTTTTTCTCCGTGTCTGTGAATAAGTCTATGATCAGAAAATTGTATCCAATCATCAACTTTTAATGTGGTTTCCGGTTACTGATTTTATCCAGCTCATTCATCGAGAAGTCATTTTGTGATTTTCCTTTTCCTAGTATACTTTACTATAACTGTGCTGCACGACGTTACCTATGCAGCTGTTTCATGCGTTTAACCAAGGTGACTTAGAAATAAAAAATAAAAGAAAGAGCTGATACTGCTGATGCATGTAGTAACTAAGTCGGAAAGGTAGGATGCATAAAAACAGTTAATTTATACGTGTACTCGACGATAAATCATTACTGACGAGTTATAATTTTGAGCGAAACTCGATTAAGTGTGTTTTGAAATGACATGATTTTCGTTAAAATGTTAAAATGTTAAAATGCTTATAGAAAAAAATATATGATTTATTACGCTTAATTTATTTTTTAGCATAAAATAAAACTTATAATGAACCTCGTGTAGAATTTTTGAGCGTTTCTGTTTGGCTAAACAAATTCTAAATGCATATAAAAATCATATAATTGTACAATCAGCCTTGGAAGGCTATTGTAAGTTAACTGTGTGAATTTTAAGTGTCTAGGATTATTTTAAACTAAATTAGAACGAAAAAAATTATCCGAAAGTAATGATATCGATATTTCCACAAGCTTTCTCGTTTATTTTTTAGTTTTTCCCAGTTATAAAAAAAAATATAAAAACGACCTTCTTGGGCACCAATTAGATAACATTTTCTTTCATAAAATACTCTATTGTCTTTTATAGAGGTGAATTTTGGAGCAAGTTTTCCGGTATAAAAACAAAATCGAATGCGTGTTAATATACAAAATATAATCTTCGATCATTCATCTTAGAAAATCTTTTAATATCAGCTGTCAGTGTACTTATTTCCTGATATATATTCAATAGATATTTTAGCGGTCAAGAAAAATAATGGATTCTATAATAATTGGTTTCAGTCTGTCATTATTTTCTCATTTTCTTTATTCTCGAGGTCTCGAGGCGTTAATAATATTTATTATTTCCCTTTTGCGGATTTTTATAACGGTTCAAAAATCTACTAGCAGTTATTAATGTTTTTGTATAAATTTGAATTTGTTTCATATGAATTTATACCATTTTTCTTTTAATCATATAATTTTTAATTTTGGTTTATCAAAAAAAAATAAAAAAAAAATATCATTGTAAAATAATTTTGAAAACAATTTTCACGTTTGTGAAAATAAATTTTATACGTAACGATGTGGGGGAGAGTGGTGAATACTCTTTTCAGGCACGTCGAGGCAAAGGGAAGTGAACGAAACTTCAGCAGTCGTCGTTTTTGATCGATCAAAGAAAAACTTTGGTTGTTCAAACAATCCCTTTGTGACGAGTAAATAGCATTGTAGTGTGTAACAAAACGCACGCATACGAGACAAACCAGTTTCTAGATGGACGTCGTCGTCGGTGCCGAAGAAGGTCGTTGACATCGTTATGCGGTCGGCCTTTTCGCTGTCGTCCTCTTCGTTTACAAGAATGTAATGGTATTCCATGGTGTGTAATTATATTATTATAATATACAGAAACGTTTTTATTTTTGAAACCAACTTTATTGCCGTTTTATAATCTTAAGTGACATTTGTTTTCGTATATACGCTATATCCGGGTGTTTAAGTGGAGGGAGAGGCAAAACGTAAGGGGACGCAGTAACATAATAATTTTCGGATTATCTATACGAAAAATCGTATTATAACGTTTGAAATTAAACATTTTTTTCGTAATCGCTGCACTTAATTAACTTTTGAATAATATTGATAATTGAAAAACGCCAAAGAGGTTTTCTTCTAAATATATTCATCTATACTTAAGCCAATATATTTGTTTGTCTAAACATTTTATAATTAGATTCCATCTTAGATTTTAAAGGCTTGAACGATAGAGAGGGCAAAAAATGACATTTAATGACAAAAAACGGTTTTTTACAATACAGTAGAAGTACTTACAATTATAGATACTAATTACTAATTTGTAAAAAAATGTGTTTTGTTATTCATGTATCTTTTTATGTAACCTTTCCTCTGCGTCACTTCTAATCAAAGACGATAGCATGTAACGTTAAACAAAATATTATAATCCGTTTTTATTTTAATGAAATAAACAAAAACAATGCTATCGCATAATAAGTAAAATTAGCTTAATTTTAATGTTAGAGTAATTGTATTTACTATGAAATTTAAAGAGAACAATATTTTGGAGGGAATGTCATAGATGTTTTTTGGATTATATACTATTCAAAATTAGTTATTTCGAAAAACCTAATTACATTCCCTCCAAAATATTGTTTTCTATAAATTTCATAATAGGTAATTTTACTCTAAAATCAAAATTAAGCTAGTTTTACTTGTTCTCCGTAAGCATTGTTTTTGCGCGTTACCCGGTAGTTAGACTGAGACAGAAGATGTGGATTAAACGTCCTATTAAGGTTTTACATTTATAGACGTAGATGTATATACGTTTCGAAACTAGACACTACTGGATAATTATTTAAAATCAAAAAGAACGAAATATATTTTATATTATTATAATTTATTAGTGGAAGACATATAATTTGACATAAATCAGTAGATTTATATAATTTACATAATTTTAATTATTATTATATTATTTTATAAAAATTATGGTACATGCGTATTAGTTTCATAATAAAATTAATACAGCACCGTAATATTGGTACATTGTGTTCGATTGAAAATCATATTGTATGCTACAATAATTGCTTTTTTAAAATGTATTATTCATAATGTGGGTCTTCGCACAAAACGTTGAAATATGCTGAACAAGTTGTATTTATTTTACGTGCCTTATAATGATCAGATTTTTTCAAATTAAAAATTCTATCGCCGTTTCAGTTTATTTTTTTCTCTTTGCGGATTCAATGTATCCAGTATATATTATATATACTTATGAGCCTAAGTATATCCATGACTAAGGTAAATGAATATTATTTAGTTAATACATTATTTTTTTCCAATTACTTATTCAGTTTAAATATTTTCGTCATAAAAAAAAAATCCCAATTATTCAAATGTTTACGTTTTCTTGACTTAAGTATCAAATCTCATTTTAGAAGTACTTGTTAAATTCAATTATAGACTCAATTATTTAATCTCTGTATTCAAACAAACTCCTTAACTGTTAATATTAGACAAATATAGTCAAAGTTGAGAAGTAATGAGTTATAAAGTTAGTAAAAACTTCCTAGTTACTAAAATGTTACTTAAACTAATAATTAAAAGTATATATACAATTTTTTATAAAATAATAATAACAATAATATTATCAAAGTTTACCTATGAGTAGTTAATTTTGAATGTAAGTAACCATAAGAAATAACTTAATTTAGTTACCTTTTTTCTACAATAAACTCGTAACGTAACAACTATTACGCTCTTTCAACCTAAATTTAAAAGTGGAAAATTTCATCAACAGCTTTAAAGAAATCAAAAATTTCAACACTCAAATTTATTTTAACTAATATTCCATCTATTTGTGGAATTTTTAATATAGGTTACTTTTGAAAATCAAAAGTAGGTAGTGGTTTTACCCCCAAAAATAAGGGTGACAAAAATAAATATAAAAATAAAATTATATAGATGTTTATTTCTAAAATGTTCTTGAAAATAAATTCCAAAAGAGTTAATACTCTCTGAAATAATGAGTGTACTTACTAAAATTGATCACCCGGTTTATATTATCATACTTAACTAGGTATGTATTTATTTATTTTTAAAAAAAACCTATTTGTATTTAAATTTAACATTTTAGGGTCCTAAATAGTTTATAAAAAGACGAGAGAGAAATACTAGACGATCAATAACATTCATTTTAATATTTAAATTACAATAAGTACAATGGAATGTATAAAAATATAAAAAATACTAGAAGTTTTGAATTGAATTTTTTTCAGTAAAATAAACGTAGGTATTCAAATAAAAATCAATTGATAGAGAAGCTACAAGAAACGTATAAAATCATATAAACTCCAATCCTTCAAACTTCAGATCGGACACTTTGGTTTGCTCATAGATAATTTCTCCATCAACAGTGAACACTGTCAAGTACGTGGCTGTGATTTTGGGTGCGGGGGTTATGTTACTCTCTTCATCATCCTTTTCTGTCGTAAGTATTGCAGCAATTACTTTGTCATCGGTATGGGGAACAAATTTAAAACTAGAATATCCACGATCGGGTACATTAATGCCAATTGTTTTAACCTATAATTAAAAAAAAAAAAAAAAAAAACAATTTAGTTAAAGCCGTTAAAAATTATTAGTTTTTTCATTCATTTAGATCAATTAGCTGGAATAAATAAAAAAATATTTCTAGAAGTCCAATTTCTGTTTTGAAAAAAATGATCGCCTCCTTTTTTTTATGCAGCGTATAATATAAATATATATATATTTTTTTTTTTTGTTACACCTGTACGAATTACTTTTGAGAAAAAACCTAAATTCATTATGCACTTAGGTGAATTAACTAAATCAATCCGCTTCTGACTATAACGTCATATACATCCGATAAACAGCTTTTCTGTTAAATAGGTATATGGTAGTAGATTAGTGAAAATATTTCATCATCAAAGGTAGTCATTAAAAGGTAAACACAAATTTACTAGTTTATAAAATTGAAGACAATTTTAAAACCAGTTTTTATTTTCTTGGACCATAATAATCCGTGTGTTTGTATCAAACGCACCCGGTCCATAATATCGGACTGGAAACTATTATCATTATTGTTATTATTAGCTGGTTTGCTGTTGCAAATTATTGAACGTAAAAAAATACTGTTTCCTCGTGACTTCCCGTTTTCATCTATGTCACAGTTAACCGATGTTGTGATGTTTAATTTTTTAAAAAGGATACTTATAATTATATAAATTTTTAGACATTTTTGTGTGATAGATTTGATTGCATATCACACTCAGACAGACAGACAAATATACACCTCATTTTATTAATATAGACGTGTTTACCTGAATATCGTCGAAATCAACAGTGGCAGACAGAAGAATATTTGTACCCTTGTGACTGTCCTCTTTCTCGTTATATTCTGTCGTTGACGCCTTTCTGGGCAAGAAAAAAACCCGTTGGTGCACTTCACTCCACACGCAAGCTTCGTGCGTCATGTACCGGACGTTGCCGAAGTCTTCTTCCCAGTTCAAGTGTGTTGTTTTTTGGTTATTTTCAGTTGCGGCCGCCCGCCCAGGCTTGGCGTCAAATGTTTTCCTGGGTAAAAAGAACAAGTGCCTGTACACGTGGCTCCAAATGCACGACTCGTTGTCCACGTATCCAGGCAATTGTATGTCGACAGACTTCCGCAGCTTGGCGTAGTATTTTTCCCAATTGGTGTATTCTATGTTGCCATCTTTGTCAATTATTGCCACTCCACTTGACGATTTGTCTCTGCCAGTCGACCCTACGTACAGGACGTTGTCTTTAACTGTGGTCCATTCGATCTTCATCGCTGTCCAACAAAAAAATCCGTCGTTAATGTAATATTTTATGATTCACAACATCGAAACGGTTCTCCGGAAAGCCCCCGAAAATTTTATATCTGATGTTAAATCCCCGTAAACAACCTCCAATCCTCCTTCCTTTTTTGCCTTAACTATACTTATTTATTATTTATACATCAGAGTAAATTAACAAATTATTGACTACCTGTACTCGAATCTTTGGCTTCTCGGATAACCTTCCACGCTAAAAATCTATCTGTATCGTATATATAAACTACTCCTGTTTGGTCATCGACAGTGAATAGACGACCGTAAAATGTGGCTAACTCCGACAACTCAAAACCACGGCCAGTATCATCATTCCAGTTATGAGATTTATATTCTTCACCATTGTCTTTGTCATCCCAACTGACGGTTACTTCATTAAGGTGAAAATCGTAAGTCATATTGCCTTTCTTCAAATAACTGATCCACGTGTTTGGTTCCGTATCGCTTTTCGAATTTTCCTCCAAGTCACTGATCATTCCTATGCGAAATATTATTCTAGGAGGGGTCTGTTCTTTCTCGGCCGGAAAGAACGCAATCACTTGTATTGCCATTAACAACTGCAAACCAATCCACTGAACAATATGAACAAAAATAAACGGATAATTATAGTAAATAAATATATAAATTAAACAATTATATATAAAAATAAAAATAATAAATAAAAGAATGAATGAGACGTCGCCTGGAGCATTAATATTATCCTAAACGGATAATGTTTATTATAACGAAAATATCTGGACTCAGTACGGACCTTGATTTTAAATTTTAGACTTTTTACCGTAGAAGGAGCTCCTGAGAAATATTCATGTATAAAAAAAAAGTTGAAATAACACGAGATTAACTATTATTGTATTAACCATTGTCAAACTCAATTGTAGAAAAATAAACCTCTATACCCGGAGATAGTTATTATTGTTTAATTTGTTTGAACAAATTGTTCGTTATTGTATATGATGTATAAAATTAAAGAGCTTATATAATATAAGATTGTGTCTTCTCTTTGTAGTCACTCTTAGACAATTTTATTGGTATCACGTGTTATTAATTCCTATCTATTGTTCAATTACAATGTTACAAATGTTACAATTCAAATATTGGAAAATATTGCGCTGATTTGATGTATTTTATAGTAATCGTGCCCTGTAGATATACGTCACCGGCTATCTTACGTATTTTATTAAACTTTACCGCTTAAGAAGTAATAATAATTGAATAAGCAAAACATCAAACATAAGTAGATTGTTCCGAGATATGGTTCTCGAAATATTGAGCTGAGGAAACTATAATTTATCATATTCGGGTGAAAAATGTACCTGCTGCACTTCCACTTATTGGAAATGTCTTAGAATATGGAATTCCATATTAAAATATGGAATTATCTCATATTGAACGCATAAAATAAAAAATATACTTATAAATAATTCTTACCATTATGATTTACTGAAACGATACCACGTTAAAAGTTTCGATATAAAATAATAATAAGGCATACACCAAATATAGTAAAACTTTGCCGATTATAATGTTTATTGAGCACTGTGACATATGGTACAACTATAGTACACACAAGAGTGGTTTGTTATTTAACGTGAAGCCAAATGTGTAACAAATAAAATGTGTGTATAGTGTTTACATACTCCGAAAATAAGTATTAGGTATCACGTATTAAGATTTATGACGAAAGACAAATACCGTATCGTTAGTAAACTAAATAAGGGTACTTTATCCTAAAAATGCATAACGTAATCAGTAAGGTGCGGATTATAATGCAAATTGCATTTTTTTCTGAATGTCTTTCAGCAATGCTTGCCAAGCTTAAAATTCGTTTCATATATCAACAAATTAAAATATTACGAAACTTTTATTTTGCATTTTTTTTATATTTTTAAAACGTTTTTTTATTTTTAGAGCTTTATTTGACATTCACTGTATTTTTTCTTATTTTTACAAATTTCTGAGTATTGTTACAAATTTTGATTTACTTCTAAAAGAAAAAAACTTCAATTTTTAAAACGTGTTATGAATTTATCGATTATAATAGATAAATACGATGCTGGATGCAATACAGAAACCGATAATCTATTTATCAAAGTCATATTGCATTGCACTGTTGTGTTTAGTAGACGTCGGGCACTTTTCCCGAAAATAAAAAAATCTGAATCAGGTACACCACACTAGAAAACTAAATTTTTGACAAATTATTATCACTTTTCCTTATTACCTACCCGACGTGGTTTCGCACAACAAATCTAGGGTTATCTCTACGGTCTCTAGATGCCGTATTTACGACCGTATTAACATCAAGCAGGATAAAGTCAAAATACATAATGTATTTCATGTTTATGAATTCAATAATTCTGGATTACCATTTGAAAATATTCGATTTAGTTAAAATTGGCGTAATTTGTCATTGTCTAAGCGTTTTAATTTTTTCTTCCGCGGTTTCGAGAAAAGTGATCCCTTCTCGTGTTTAGTATTGCTTATATTCTCGTTTGTAATTCTTTTTTCCATTGACTGTTGCTCTTTTATTATCACGGAGATGTTCCCCAACTAGTCTGGCGAATATCATTGTATCATAAAACTCTGGCACATTTGGGATATTTAAAATAACACGCCACCGGGACATAGCCTTGACCGATCAACACGGAGAACGCTCAACAGGCTAAGAGTGGAAGTTGGAAGATCGAATGAAAATACAAGGATGTAGGGTTTGGAACAAGATGCGAGTGTGGAGACGAATAAATCACGCGCCACTTACTGACATGTCCAAACTACCCCACAACATGCACTAGTTACACACTTCAAAACAGTGATCATGGATGCATTCGAAGTTGTCAAATAATTTCAGGACAAAGCATAACGACCCATTACACCGAATTGTACTGTACTAGTAATATCTAGTCCTGAAACAGTCAACTGAAATGTGATTTATTAAGTTATGCATGTACCTATCTACTTGTTTTTGTTTTATTTAGATATCATTTGTGTATGGTTGTTTAAAGCGGATATAATAATAACTGGTACAGTGTACAAAACGATTTTCACGAATATCGATAGTAAATAAAGTAAAATAAAAACCTTGATTTGATTGTTATTAAATCAAATCATAAAATATACTTGTACCTTAATTAGGTACTAATAACCTACATATCAATACAATAGGACGAATAATATTTTGTATTCGTTTTAAACGCATGAAATATTTAAACTTATTGGATTTCCAATAAAGTGTTTTATTTTCTCTCAGTTGACAACTTTTATACCAAACATTTTGCTTCGATTTTCACGTGTATAATCTTATCTGAAAGCAAATCGTATCTAATACTGATATTGATATATCTAAAAAAACAAAAAAAAAAACTTGTTAATTGCAATTTTTTTTTATTACAAAATAACTATAAAAAACATTAAGCAATAACATACATTCACTTTACGAAAACTGTTTGCTTATATTAAAATCGTATTTCAAAAATAAATTAATAGTTTAGCGTATTTAAAGTACAATATTATTACACAAGTTTTATTTACGCACATCTGGGCACAGTTAAAATATAGGACAAACGTAATATCGTTATACCATTTACTTAGTACACGTAGTCGGTTAATTTGATACGTTAAAAGTTGTTCAACCTTTTAAACTTTTTGAAAAATCTCCACGAAAGTCACACCACAGTGGATAAGAAGCAGCGATATAGGAGGCGATTTGTGACGGTAAATATAACCTTAAAATTATCACCAACAACGCCGATGTTCGTTTAGATCAATAATATTCACGGAAATAAAACTAAGTCGTTAATAGAACGGCGAATCCGTCGAGGGGACGGATCAGTTCTACATCCGTACGATTGATAAGGGGAGGGGAGGAGACATCGTCGAACAAAACTTCGAATGTTCCGATATCGTACAGTCGGAATTTGAACGGAAATATCTCTCGATTCTTGAACAGCGAAACAGCGACCGGGTCGTAGACGAAACTAGGGGGGTGCTAGAGGGTCTTAAGTACCTCCGAGTTTAAAAGTAGCACCCCCTCCCCCAAGAATATCCGATAAGTTGTTTTACGGCGTAGACTCGATGTTTTAACCGCGTATTTCATAATTAACAAGCAGAACAAAATACGAATTACACCTACGGCCAGTCCGCGCGCGCGCGTGTGTGTGTGTGTGTGTGTGTGTGTGTGTGTGTGTGTGTGTGTGTGTGTGTGTGTATGTGTGTGTACAAAATAAAATTGAAAAAGTTATGAATCACAGTCGAAAACGCGTCGCTTATTATGCGACGTTATTGTGTGCGATGCGCTTAAAATTTTAGCGGCAACGGTCGACGGAAGTCGCGCCTGTGGCACCGGGTCGACCCGTCGGCGAGTGTTTTTCCGAAATACCGCGGCGGGCACGGCGTCTCCGTCGGACAGGGCGTGCGGTCAAACGATACTAATTCCGAATAATGGCCGGCCGGCCGGCCGGGTCGCGTTTCCCACGGCGGCGGCGACAGCGGCCGCGGCCGGCCGGTCGTCCGGGGCCATAAGATATTCACGGCCCGGCGTGCACTGCTAGTCGTACCCACCTACATAACCGGGTACGTGACGCGCGTTTTTCAGACGCGTATAACAATTACGTTTTTATTTTCGCGACGATTTTTTTATTTTTTATTTTTTATGCCGTCAGTGTTATTATGCGGGTTTTTTTTTTTTTTTTTTTTTACACGCGTTCCGCAGCCTATTGTCAACGACAACCACGACAATATTATACGTTATTACCTATATGTTTTATTATCGTTATTGTTATTACTATATGTGTGCCGCCCGCGTGCGTGCGAGCAGCGAAAAGAGCTGACGACGCCCGAGGAATATTGGCAACCGAACGCGAACCCGTGTGCGCCTCCCCCTCACCCACCCCCGATCGGCGGGTCTTTCCCGGAGACGCGACTTCGTCTCGTCTACGATGGTATCGCACTCGTTCATATTTCATCGCCGTTATCATTATTATTGTCATCGCAAGTCCCCGACCGCACAGGTGTTCCGTGTCGGCGTGCGCTGAAGCACATGTCATAATGTATGCCACTTGTATCCAACGTTCCGGTTCTAGATTTCTGGAATCACTCGCCCAACCAATCCGGCATGTCGGTTTATTTTAATTTTATTACTAGATAGTAATTAGTAGGTATACTTGTATATTGTGGTTATTGTCATTCAATAATACGAATCGCGTTATCGTTTACGCTGCATCCGCTAAAACGATATTAAATGTAAAATTTAGTAATAAGTACCTAAAAGGCTAAAAAGCCGGCCTAGGATAAAGGGGACGAGTACAACCACTGTTATAGGCAATTTAATGTATATCCGCATGCAACGATTAACCATTGCTAACGAAAAAACGATTCTGCGCGGAGTTTGGTTGATAATATTGCTTTGCCAACAAACTATACGTAATATCAGGGTGAAATAATTACTTAATATGCATTATATATTTTCTTTGGTAATATTTATTTAATATTGTACCTAATTTTTCGTTTTTCCCGGTTTTCTCATGTATTGGGGAAACTCGTGGGAATATCAAAAAACTACTTCCCTAATGTACAACCCCAGCACGATTTTCTTCCAGAAAAAGTGTCATGATTGTAAATCGGAGCAGAATTACTGGTAGAATAGATGTCAATAGAAAAATAAAACAATAAACATCATTGTAAAACCAATAAATTCCTCGCTCCACTCGGAATCTAAAATATTGACATTTTCAATGAAAAATAAATTATCCTATAGTTGAAAGTATGTACAATTTTTTTTTTTATAAGAGTACGACCTTCAACCCCATGAAATATTTTTTCATAAACGCACCTGTACATAGACAATCGTATTATTAACTATGGAAATACTCTGTAAACCGTTGCGAATTCATCTAAATGCAATCCATATTTTTAAGTACCCATGATAACGGTTCCATATTAGTGATCAGGTTGAGTAATCAGGTAGAGTGACGTAAAAATACCACCAAAATCAAAATATTTAAGGACACACTCAAACTGCGGAAATCTTCGCCGAAGAACCGCTTAATAGTGATAAAAGAATCACTCCGTATGCCAGACGTATTATATTACTATCGTTTCGCCAAAACATTTCGTCGATAATGAATGAATCGCCTACGCGTTGCGTAGTTGTACGTAATGTACATAGCTGCGTACATGCAGGTATTTACTCACTGCACATCCAATATATCAATAATGCCGCAAGGCCTAAAGTGCACTTTAAAGTGACAACCTATGTGTAATTATATCATCGTCGTGTGCGCACAACAATATTGTCCCCTTTGTGTGTACATATCATGATAATATCATCGATAATAACGGTAAATACTTCACCCGGTCGTGGTGGATTTACTGGTATCCAACACGCGAGGTTGTGGTCAGTGTATATTTTTCATGGGTGTGCGTGGTTTCAGAAACGATACGCTTTTCATCGACCATATAGGTTGGTTAAGTTATACTTGAACCGGGGTGTTGCAGACAAAAAAGAGAAATGAATACGTAGAGTTATTTAATTTATATCTATGGGCGCAACGATACACCGTTGCTAACAAAAAAAAAAAAAAAACGATTCCG